GAAAAATTTATATTTGTAATTTCAAAAGTATGTTGAAAATAAATTGAAAAAAATCTTCAAATAAAATATAGTAGAACCTCGATTATCCGATCCAATTGAGTCCGCACCTAATTCAGACAATAGATAGTTAGCATGTCGTAGAAATTATTATGTTATGCATTTATGGGTAATGCAATAATATAATTTATAAAAAAAAAAAAAAAAATATAACAAAATCGGTTTTCTAGCCGCAATATAATGTTCGGATACTGAGGGGTCGGATAATCGGATCTAGTGTACCAGGGCCGTAGAAACTGGCCTAGACACCTGGATTAAAAAAAAAATACGGACACACTACGCACGACGGGTGAGCCAATGTTGTAGGTGAAATGTTATGGAAGTAGAGGGGAATCGCAACGATTTACCATTCTCAATTGATCTGTAACATCTGCCTACGCGATACTGTTAAGATACAAACAATAAACTGTGACCGCGTATACGATGTCTTCAAAAGCACAATTTTCATAATATTTTACAATGTGCCATTGACATTTTAGGCACACGGTGGGTACGATCGTATATTCGTTATTTATTGTTACACTGATTCCCAAAGCAATATGAATAGTATTAGTAGTATGAGTAGTTTTTTATATGAAGTCTCATCCGTGTGAAAATTAAAAAAAAAAAAAAATAGAATTTGATTTTCTACATTATTTCTAAAGATATTTAAGGGATATTTCTGTATGGGATAACTTGTATAAAACATAGTTTACAGAATGAAATGGAAAACAATTTAACTAATTTTCAGTACATTTTTAGTAAAAACATTTACTAGTTAGAATTGTATATTTATTGTTGATTTTAATTATTATTTTCTCATATTTCATTAGTTACGTTAGTATACGTTTAGTTGTTTATAAATTACCGTTATTAATAGTCTGAAAGTAGATGATAAGTTGGTAATTAAAAAAAAGAACTGATATTGGGGATGGGATCAGCCACTTTTGTAGGTGAAAATTTGGGAAGGCAGGATATATAATGTCATTTCTATTTTATTTGTAAGCAACGATATAACATAAATTGACGAAATGCGATTCCGAGTGCAGCGTGGTAACGCATAATTTCAAGGGCTATGTTATTTTACGATTTTCGTTTTCAAAACGCTTATTAAAAAAACTAGAAACTTGAAACCAAAGTTATAAATAACAGACGAAAATTTCCGTGGAACGAACGTCGAGTGCCGATGCCGACGAGCAATACAAATAGTAATAATAAAATAAGATAAGCATGATACACGTCGTATAGCATATGCATTACGAACTAAAATATATAATACTATTTATAATCGGTGATATATTTAGATATTATTATATTGATTTGTTTAATCAAAAAGTCGAACAACAAAATATGTCGAATAGTAACGTA